CGAACTGCAGCACAGTATACTCATCGTTTCATGGATAGTCCAATAGGACCCAGTACAGAAGCGCAGCAGTTCGAGTTTCTACACTTTGCTGCAGAAAACTGAGTAAAAATAGAGAGAAGAGGAAGTATGTTAAAATAAATACGCTAAATATAAGAAAAGTGAATACATCTGTTCCATAGTGTTCCCGTTTCATGCAATGTCATCAGCTCTTCAACTATTGATTCCAAACGTGGGTAAAAACATAGACAGACAGACTACAATTTCTTACGCAGCTTAGATTAACTTTTGAGTATTCATTAGATTGCTGCTACAACTTACAGTAATTAATTTACAACTAAGTAAATCTTAATTTTAAAGTAACAAGAACATACAAAACATAGACACATATGTTAGCGAATGCAAATAGTTTCAACAAACGAGACAAAGTACAGTTAACTGTATCTTGGTAACTAATACTGATATTAGTTTGATATAGTTTAGAATGAATTTCGATGAATCGTGAGTTCGAACCCAGCTACACCTGTCGAAGTTTGGGCAACCAGGTAGTATCATTAACCCCTATGCAATATATGTACTTCATTGCTTACTGCACGAACATGTAGGTGGTTGTTAAGTGGATATCATTTCATTTTCACGAAGGATGATTCTTGCACTTACTTTCTGATTGCCAGTTTAATAATCTTCATTATCTTTGTATCAACAAGAACACAATAAGATCGACTTGGTGTACCATTATTATCATCACTATTATTACTACTATTGACTTCTGCGTTATTCTGACAATAAAATGCTCATTGATGACTAGCTTCGAGAGGTGATTCCCAAAGTTTAAATAAGAAGTCATGACCAGTGGGGCAAACCTGGTGGCCGTGAGGACAAATACTCAACAATGACATTAGGTGACGGTGGCGCTACATCGTGAACTGACAGAAGTTGGAAATATGGACGACTGGATTGCGACCCAGTGGCTCAATGGCAATATGCTGCCCATGGAACTTGAAGGTCCTGGATTCGATCCCCGGTGGGACAGGGTAGTGGGTGCGGACCACTGCCCAGTGATCTCAGGTTTTCAATGTTCCTCCAACTGATGCCAGTCAATGATGAATTCCAAACTAAAATCAATTAATAAACCTCCACAAACCTCCAGATAGAATTAATCCAGCGCTTATTGGTAACTAGCCTCGACAGGTGATTCCCGAAACACCGATGAGATGTCGTGACCAGTGGAGTCAGCTAAATCGAACATGAGGACAGTTACCCAAAGACGATATTGGATGTAGGCCACGCTATATCGTGGACTGACAGAAGTAGGAGATGTGGACGATTGGATCCCGGACCCAGTGACTCAATGGTAACGTATTGGCCACGAATCTGGGTACCCTCTGCTGAGTCGTCCTACACTAGGACGAAACGACTGTCCACTTTTCCCAAATTTCTACGACTGATGTCAGTTCATGATGAATACCAACTTGAAATCAGTAAATCCACACAAACCCCTAGATTAAATTGAAAAGAATCTTTTAGTATCAATTCATCCTGATACATCGACAGGAATGATGGTTGTGATATATCATGAATCGAAAGAAATAGGAGTCAGTGAATAACTGAATCCCAGCCCAGTAGCGAATGCCAACACTCACACTGTGAAACATGATGGTCCTGGACTTGATGCCTTGCGGCGTCACAGGCGCGTATTGATGAAAAGTCCCAAAATAAAACAGAACAACCGCCTAGTGGTCCCAGGTCTCCCTATGCTTCTCCAACTGATGAAAATCTGTGATGAAAACAACTTTCCCCATCGTATATACCCTACTGTAATGCATATGTAATTATGTAGTGACTACAAAGTCCCGCCAGAAGCACTGAAAACAGACGCAGAGACAACAGCAGACATGTTTACACCACTATTGCAGAAGGTCTGGAAGGAAGGGAAGGTACCTGGCGATTGGAAGAAGAGTTACCTTGTCAAGCTCCCGAAGAAGGGAGACCTCAGTGTTCGCAAGGACTGGCGAGGAATCACTCTCCTGTCCAGCCCAAGCAAAATATTAAGCCGCATCATCTTGGAGAGACTAAAAGATGCACTGGATTCAAAACTACGAACCGAACAGGCTGGCTGCCTTCAGGAAGTACAAATCATGTGCAGACCAAATTCCAACGCGCCACTTCGCATCATCATAGAACAGAGTACAGAATGGCAGTCAGCTCTCTACCTCAACTTCATCGACTTTGAAAAGGCCTTTGACAACGTCGACCGAGAAGTAATTTGGCAGTTGCTTCAACACTACGGAATACCGCAAAGCTTTATCAGCCTCATTCAACAACTATATGAAGACGCCACATGCCAAGTGATTCATAATGGGAAGCTCAGTGATGCTTTTGAAGTGAAGACAGGAGTAAAACAAGGCTGCCTACTATCACGCATGATATTCCTGATTGTGGTTGACTGAACTGGATCATACAACAAACAGTGAGGAGTGAGAAGAGGGGGATACCCTGGTTGGACCGGGGAAAAGAACCTAGAAGATTTGGATTTCGCCAACGACGACTTGTGTCTGATGTCGCACAAACTTGAAGATGTACAGGTAAAAACTAACAAGTTGACAGAAGAGGTGAGGCAGTGAAGACGGGACTTCAAGTGAATATAGAGAAGACAGGTGATGAAGATGTCCAACCAACAACACCAACATCAACAACAGAAAGCTCCAATCACCATCAACGGAAGAAACTTAAAGAAAGTAGCCTCCTTCACCTATCTAGGCAGCACTGTTTCAACTACAGGCACCACTGACGAGGATATCAAAGTCAGGATCGGAGACACAGCAAGACAGGCCTTCATTAACCTGAAACCAGTGTGGAGATCTTCTGCACTCCACTCAGCAAAAAGCGTGAACAAGATCCGGATTTTCTACACCAACTTCAGTCAAGTCAGTGCTTCTGCACGGTCCAGAGACTTGGCGCGTTACCAAAGGGATTTCCAATAAAGTACAGATATTCATCAACAACTGCCTACGATGGCTCGTTACTGAAGATCAGATGGCCAGAAAGAATCAGCAACAAGCAACTCACTCTGGCAACAAACCAACCAGGAATCTATCGCCCAACAAATATGCACTGGAAGGAAGTGAAGATGGATTGGGCATACACTGAGAAGACCGACTGTAGACATCATGCGTCAGGCCAGACACTCGAGTGGAACCCAGATGGGAAGCGACGAGTTGAGTGTCCGAGGTGAGGGTGACATAGAGGAGATCTTGTGAGGAAGAAATGAGAGCTTGTGGGCTGTCGTGGAGCCAGGTTGAAAAGATTTCAGAGAACAGAGTGGAATGGAGACGTGCTACTGAAGCCCTATGTTTTATTAGGAACCCGACGGACAAATAAATAATATAATAATAATGATACAAAGTCATCTGTGACCTTTTCTGTGGCATATTTTCAGTGACGCAGGATCGGAATAATGACGCATCAAATAACAAGATACACAGAATTTCACACTGAATGACTGATAACCAGTCCGTTTTGTCGTGTTATACGGCTGTGAGACATAGCTGTCAAAGGTAGAAAACATGAAGCTGCTGCAAGTGTTTGATCATATATCTCTGCGTATTTAGTGGAATCATAGAGTGAGCAGTGTTGCCAGCCTTCATCGGCTGAGATGGCTTAGACACATGCTGCGCATGCCGAGCTATCACCTAACTCAACGTGCCATGCTGGGGGAAGTTCGATTAATTGATGAAGTTTGTTACTGTTGCTCTGAGTCGTGTGGGGAGGAGTACACTGCCTGTTTAGGGTCCTCGAGATGAAAGGAATCATTGGTTGAGGACTCTTAGTGACATGTCTGAAAATCAGCCACAATAGCGCAGATGTATTCACATCTTATGAAGCCTAAATAATCGCCATAGACGTTATTTTCAGATTGTTTATTCTTAGATCACTTCGTCCACTTTGATATCACTCCTTTTCAATCCACCTGTTTTTTGTGTACTACTGTGAAGTGTGTGGCAACTTCAGTCAATGCACCTAAGTGCAAGGTTCTACGTTGACTTTGTCAGTCAGTCAGTACCAGTTTAAAATCTCTCATTATGCGAACATCATTGGACAAAAAAAGACCAAGGACATTTTTGACCTTATCTACGTGTGATATATATGTAAATTTTGGATAATGGATAAGGATTGAAGGTGAAGTGAAAATCTCGGTAGCGGTACTTGGTTTATTTTCCTGAAAAATCTTGGAAAATTAGAATTACCAAATTTTGAACAGCAAGATTTATGTAAGTGTGATCAATAGAATTCGGTGAGCACTTATGACTGGAAACTATATAATTAGCTACAGTAGGCACTGTGGTAGAGTATAATTCCATATTACACTAGTTTATTTAATACAAGATACAGTACTACAGTGGAAGTGTGGTTCACTGGTTTAGGAAAACGACTATCAACTAGTAGGACACAGGTTCGAATGTCTCTTCACCTACCGAAGTTTAGGCAGTATCAGTAGACTTCACACGACAGGTATCGCTCATCTGTTACTACACAAGGTTGTTGAGTACACTCCTAGTTACTATCCAGTGACAAACCACCACTTACAATCAGGTCCTACAGAAGATTAGTCGTGGCCCAAATGGTTCAATGGCAACGTCTCTGGCTACAGTACTGGTTGACATGGGTTGGGTTTCAAGTATCTAAGACGCCAGACACGCCCTGAGAGAGAGGGCCAGTAAGCATGAAACTTAGGGCCATCGCTCCCTGTCAGTCCCCAACGCTCACCCATCCTCGACCCCTAGTCACTTAATAATGCAGACTTTTCAGCTAGGTAGCTGATATTTCTGATACTGTCCCGTCAAAAATCTTGATCATATTTCATATACATAAACACTTACTGTTTAAATATCAACCTATTTAAAAATAACCTTTCCAAAAAACAACACATCATGAGTGTGAATGAATATACAAATGCGCTTATGCATACACATAAAACGTTACATGTTCACCCTTGAACTCACATCATTTGTATCCGATTCTGTATCACTTTCAGTATTTAATTCATCATTCAGTGTATTTACATTGCCAAGAAAAGCTGAATTAGAAGTAGATAGAGATAAGAGAATTTACACCAACTACATGAAATAGTGCAAAGATCGAAAAACTACAAAAGTATTTACATTCAAAACATACAATGCTGGCCAAAGTAGGTACAGAATGGATAAAGGTTCAAGAAAGCCACACTAAAACATGGAATCAGTGCATGAAGTCGTTGACTGTTCGTTTAACCCATATAGGCCGATGTAGACTAGTCAGGTATCGTCCACCGGACAAGAGAAAATAGTGGTTGGAGACTCTACATGATGTGACTCAAAACCGATATGAGTAGCACAGATGTATACTCACATTATCCTCATTCCAACCGCTATACCCAATCTCACCATCCTCTCATTCTTCCTTTCTCTCTTTTACTAGTTTCTACTTCTACTTCCTTTGACTGATTTTCCTTTCCTTCTTCATCTCCCATTTTATTCCCTAGTTACTTGATGTGCTGATATGAGGTGTGGCAACTTGGACTGTCGTGCAGTAATGCCTGATTTGATGTTGATCTTGATGACGATGATGACACGCAACAGTGTATTATAACAAACACTAACATACACACAAAAAAGGCGACTTTAAAAGCCACCCTATTGAAAAACCGCTCTCCCAGGCGGAATACCTAAACCTGATTGGTTATTTAAGCAGCTGCTAGGGTAACCTTTAAAGCCACTCCAAAAAAGTCGAAATTGAAGTGCACTCAGTAGGCTTGAGCGCATATTCGTGCAGTAGCCAATGAGCCCGACATATTTTGTGAGGGTTAATGATACTACCTGGTTGCCTACACCTACTTAGGTGGAGTAGAGCTTGAATCCACGATCCATTGGTTAAAAGTCATCTCCTTAAATCAATGAGCTACAGCTCCATAGACATGCAAGATGGATATAATTTCAGTAAGGTTAACCTTATGGTTATACCCAATACCACTTACTTGGTGCTAAAATAATAGGATTTACATGTGCTTCGCTGATTGGATTTGCTTTATTGTTCGATACAATAGTAGTGTTAGTATGGACAGGTGAATTCTTGCCATCTTGGGTATTATCAGACTGTTGATGATGCTGATGCTGCCGTTGTTCATTACTACAAGATGAGCCAGTTTTTTCAATTAACAAGTCAGCATGACATAGTGAACAGACACGTACACGTGATGAACCTTGATAAGGTAATATCCACCGGTAAGTAGAACACTTATCACAAACAACTTTTCCACAATGTCGACAATGATGCTAAAAATTAAGAGGAAAGAATTAATGAAATTATCATTTGACTATATGAGATAGCCGTAGTTTGGCAGACTGGCATTTATACTGGGTGATGATTGGTCACTGGTTCGAATCCGGCCGCGGTCCACATTTTCACTTCACCTTCAATCATCATCCAGTATAAATTAATGAAATATTGATCTGTAAGCTTGTCAATAAAACAATACAGTCCAGTTCGCTTAACCGATAATAAATGGAACAAAGTACAGTGAGGGTATTCTAAATCCCACAACATGACAAGAAAAGAAATAACATATAAGGGAGCAGAAAGTTAATACAAAATAGATTATTATACGTGATGCGCCATTTTCACTAGTACCAAACAGACTGAAGTGAAAGTGCTGAGTCTCACTAAAACCGCATAATGATTCACAAACGTGACATAAATCCTACTGTGTTGACAAGTTATCAACACTAGATGTTACAGCATCGAAAAATTGATCCTTACTGGGACTTCAAATCAATTAGAATAAGAAATGAGGGACCCTAATTGTATTGTCTCAACTTTCTTGCGTGTTAGAACCTACGTCTACGTAGAGTGGTGTCCTTCAAGGATGCCCACTCTCTCGAATCTTATTCAATTTTATCCTAGATGTTCTTATGGAGGTCTCACTTGTTATCTGACTACATAGAGATTGACCTGATCACTGGAGAATTTTCGGTAGACTTAGAATACGCACATGACATGGTACAATTAGGTGAAGACGCTGACAAGATACAGAGTATTCTCGTCACTCAAGTGCAAATTATTGCTCCAGACTGGTCCCCAACGATACTCCGACTAACAAAAGAGAGTGAAGCGGTTGAGCGCCTTAAAAACTCCATCTGCCTGCCAAGTAGGATCAGCCACGGTGGGTGAGTGGTGGATGAAATCTCTGTACGGATACAAAAGGCTCGGTTGGCTTTTGCCAACTTACGCCATCAGTGGTGCCGCCACGATATCTGGTTATCTATTAAGGGTCGAGTGTACCATGCTACAGTTCGCTCTGTTCTACTGTTTGGCTTTGAAACATGACCACTAAAGGTAGAAGAAATGAGAAGGCTTCAGGTGTTTGACTACCGTTGCATTCGCAGTATAGGCCATGTTTCGTGATGTCACCACGTGAGGAACGTAGAAGTCAGATGTAGAGTTTTAGGCAGGAGAGGTAAGACAGTTGATGAAGTTGTGGACCTTCATCGACTGAGATGGTTGGGACATGTGTTACTAATACCTAACCACCATCTGTCGCGCCAAAGTAGGTTGAGGCTGGACAAAGGCTCAAGAAAGCCACACTAAAACATGGAATCAGTGCATGAAGTCGTTGACTGTTCGTTTAACCCATATAGGCCGATGTAGACTAGTCAGGTATCGTCCACGGGACAAGACAAAATAGTGGTTGGAGACTCTACATGATGTGACTCAAAACCGATATGAGTAGTGCAGATGTATACTCACATTATCCTCATTCCAACCGCTATACCCAATCTCACCATCTTCTCATTCTTCCTTTCTCTCTTTTACTAGTTTCTACTTCTACTTCCTTTGACTGATTCTCCTTTCCTTCTTCATCTCTCATTTTATTCCCTAGTTACTTGATGTGCTGATATGAGGTGTGGCAACTTGGACTGTCGTGCAGTAATGCCTGATTTAATATTGATCTTGATGACGATGATGATGTACTTTCGCTAACTATTTGCTTCCAGCATACTGCATTAATTCTATATTTCTTACAAACTTGCGCTTACTTGATCCTGTAATTCTTTATCAATAACATATTACTTACACTTATAAAACTTATTTTGAACTTAAGAAATTTCTATGCGGTAATTACATTTCTGTCAGGAGAGACGTTTATTACAATTTTTGATTTTGTCATGCTTTTTTTAGTTAGTTATATCGGTTTACAATCCAGCTTGACATCGATTGAGATAAGAAGACTTCATTGAGTAACACGTGTGATGACAATAAACTGACAGTTATATACAACTCGTTCACATATAAAAACTCAATGATTTAAGTGAAAGAAGTATGTGGTGAGCAGCTGATGCTCATAGCTGCACTTGCATATGACAAAGTTAGTGTCAGTAACACAAAGTCTGGTGATTCGAATCCCTTTTCGGTTTAAGCCTTCTTTCATCTTCATCATCAAAAACGCTTTCTATGCAAACACTAGTCGCCTAACCAAGGATATCTCACACCGTTTATTTCTTCGGCAAACGTTGTTGAAAATGCTTTGTTTAATTTACTATAAAATCATTGAAAAAAAAGCTTCATAACCAGTGACATGAACTTTGTTAAGTAATCAACGAAGTACTGTTAGGCTTCTCTTTTCATGTTCAACTATAGATAATAGACTGCAGACAGACAGACAAAATCAGCGCAGAACTACGCACGCAAGTGTATTTATTTAAGTCGCCACCCTTCACAATAGTAAGCAACAAACAAAATGGGCATAAAAAGACTGATACCAAAACAGACAGGGGTGTATGGGAAGAGAAACAATTTGAAAATAAAGGTTAGTGAAAATATTGAAGCTTTATAGTGACGGTTAGTGAACAAGAAAATGAAAGAAGGTGTAGTGATCCAAGTAGATCTCATTCAGTGGTTTTGATTAAATCGACGGCACTTAAGAAAGCATGAAAAACACTGGAAAATATACACAGTCAGTGAGTGATGAAAAATTTAAAATCAGAATTAAGCCCCAGTTTACTAAATGAAGTTCTTCAGATGATGAAAACTAAAAACAAAGTTTAACAACGTTGAGTAATTTGTTTTATTAAGCCACATCGATGTTATGAAAAGGAGAGATATTATCTAACTACCTGAACCTATCCAGATGAACGGAGCATTAAATGCATAACAAATTAGATGAATATCGAGCATCTGACTTATGAGTCATAGTTCCCCCGAAAGACTAAAAACAAAAATCTTTCCATCTACTTTATCTTTAAGACAGACAAGCAGATAAAATCAGCGTAAAGACTTGAACATTGGTTCAAGTTGCCATACTTCACAGTAGTATACAACGAACAAATGGATAGAAAAAGCCTGAAAGCCTGAAAGTAGAAAAAGGCATAAGGAGGGAGAGAAAATTTAGAAATGAAGATTAGTCAAAATATTCCAGCTTTAGAAGATGTCCAACAGAAGAATACATCTGCATCATTTTGAACAATTTCACCAAACGTTCTTAACCACTGATTCCTATCGTTTCGGGGGATCCCAGCCAGTTAGTCTCCACCTCTCTACATGCCTCACATCAACAACTTTATGACTAGCACAAGCGATAAACAAATCCCCTGTTTTCAGGATAGAATTCATCATGAACTGACATCAGTTGGATGATCATTGGAAACCTGGGAGCACTGGACAGCTGTTTCGCCCTAATATAGGACTCCTCAGCAGTGCGCACTCACGACCCCGCCAGGCCTCGAGCCGAGAACCTTGGGGTTACGTGGCTAGGAAGTTACCATTGAGCCACTGGGTCGGAACCCAATGGTCCACAATATAGCGCGACCCCCATCCAATGTCGTCGCTGAGTGACCGTCTTCATCTTCGACAGAAGTAGGAAATATGGATCATTAGATTCCGACCCAGTGGCTCAGTGGTAACGTCCTAGCTACATAACCTCAAGGTTCTCGGTTCGAACCCTAGCAGGATCGTGAGTGCACACTGTTGAGGAGTCCCGTACCAGGACGAAAAAGCTGTCCATTGTTCCCAGGTTTCCAATGTTTATCCAATTGATGTCAGTTCATGATGAATTCCAACCTAAAATCAATTAATAAACTCTCCACAAACCTCCAGATTGACATCTCCTCTTTGCCCAATTTTAGAAACATCTGAAAACAGTAGATACATTATATGGTTTTTCACAGATTTAAAAACTATCATTTACATCTAAAATGATTTGAATAATTTAAACAAAAGATTGATGGAACGATCCTTCCTACAGGATAAAAGAAAATACAGTCTATTAACTAATTGTGAAATTTTACTAAAGCGAATGAAACTGGCCGATGGGAAAGTTCAAATATGAGATACAGCAGGACATCAGTTCAAAATGAAACATTGGAAGATTATGAAAAGCGGAGAGCAAAAAATAATAATAATTAATTGTAAAGTGCTTAGTTGAATTAGAAAGTAAGTGAATGGTATATTTAATTCAGTACTCATATACAGACCCATGTACTGAAGCGGACTATGCACCACTTTTCAAGATACTTAACAATACTAATCGACTATACAAGCTTCACAAACAGATTATGCAGAGAGACAAATCAAAACAAAATCGGGTATGGAAGTGTATCACTTTAAAATGCCACACTTCGCATCTTCATGTAAAATAAAAGTGAGTAGAGGAAAACTGACATAAAGATGGAGAATAGTGTTCGAGACAAGAGGGCATCAACAAATGAAAGTTAGTGAGAATATTCAAGACCCTGAAGCTGACACAAAGTGCATGTATCTGCGTCAATATGACCAAGTTTCAGCCATGTCGCCAAGAGTCTCCAACCATTGATTCCTATCCTCCACAGGGTAATCTATACTTCTCCATCCACAAACACAGTCAAAGACCTCATAGACTGTTGCTATGACGTATGAAATAGTGAATAGCTGTTGTTCAGGATATTCATTACGATAAGAAGTATACTTTAACTCTGACAGACGATGTACAGGTAACCCTAGGAAATTATGTAAGTTAAGCAATCACTTTCCCGACTGAGGTTTTATATAACTCTACACGCTAATAATACTAATGCTAAGGTTGTAATACATAGATTTTGCAATATATTTAGTCATGAAATGAATAAATTATACAAGTGTCGAATAGCATTAAAATTTAAGAAACACCCACTATTCTGTGTAGGCTAATACAATTTAAGTCCTAACATTGTTACTACCTGGTACATTCACTCTAATGAACTTTGTATAAGTTGAAATGTTAGTAATTTAACTGTTAAGAAAAGCCAATATATAGATTTGTAGT